CCTCTCTCTCTCTCTCTCTCTCTCTCTCTCTCTCTCTCCCTCACACTCTCTCTCTCTCTCTCTCTCCAGTTTAACATCTTTTCCCCCCAAAACTGGGGGTTAGACGTGCTTGTATCAAGTGCAAGTCTTTTTTTAAGCAAGATTTGTTATGACTGGATGCCCTTCTTAACGCCAACCCAAACGCTAGTAGGGCCCAGGATCCCTCTAACTGAGGGGGGAAATATGTGTTAAGTGCCTTTCCCAACGGCACAACGTCTGGGTGCATGTCCGGACATGTCTGGGTCTAACCCTAGGGATTGAACCTGGGTCTCCTTGCTTAACAGTCGGATATGCTCTACCACTACATCACACAGACGCCGTGTACGTTTGTGAAGATTAGTCATCCAGAGTTGAATCAATGAAATAGTGTTTCTAACTTTAAAGGCACCCAAAGCAATTTCATGGCAGTAAAACTGGATTTTCAATTTGCCTGTAGTAAGATGAAATCAACCCTTTCCCACGGCATAATGATATCTGTGAGGCAAAAATGTGATGAAAAACGGTTGCATGCTTTGGTAACTACTTACAGTAGTTCATTTTGGGGCTATTTCAAATGGTTCAAGCATGAAATGATGATGAACATGTGCTGAGAAGTGATCATAGTAAATGTCAAGATTGCAGACTGCAGACTTCCTCATCCAGATTATTTCTTGTGTTGCCACCCTGAAATGATGATGATGATGAAATTCCATTTGATGCCTTTAAAAGCTGAACTGTACACATGGTTTATGCACATATGCTGTCCTTAGTGCTGAAATGTTCACTGTTATAGTTAGGAAACATAGGAGATGAGGGTTGTATCAAAATGTAATTGTTTCTTCTAAGAGAACTGGAAGAGAACAAAAGGATAAAAAGAATGAAAGATAAAAAAATGTTACATATTTAAAAAGAAATAAGGTGTATATGGAAGTTCACTTTACACGTGTTTAAAAAATTGATAATGTAAATTTGAATGTGTTCAATAAAAAATTGTGAATTACAGTGGACTTACTTGTAAGATTAACACATGGTTTATACACATATGCTGTCCTTGGTGCTGAACTGTCTGCTGTTGTTGCTAGGACATACAGGAGATGAAGGCTGCATCCAAAATGTAATTGTTACTACTAAGAAACTGGATAAGTGCGGTGGGTCCTTTAACGTATGTGGGGTATGACTCTCCCCAAACACGGGACCTCCATTGAACGTCCTATCTGAGGGACATCCCTAACCGAAGCTAGGTACTCATTTCCACCTGAGTGAAGTGAGGAAAGTCGTGTAAAGTGCCTTTCCCAAGGGTGACATGGGCAGGATTTGAACCTGCGACCTCTTGGGTGTGAGCCGAATGCGCTACTGACTGCGCCACACGACCCCACTCGTATTTCCCACTCGATTTCAGGCTAGCTAAATTCTTCACTATTTACTTCCTTTGTTTAATATCAGTATTATCACCCCCTTCTGCTACTGACACATTAGGCCAGTGCAAGGGGGCTACAAAAATTTTACGTTATACATTGTATGTTAAACATGTTGTACTGAATGTTAATCTCCAAGCAGATCTTTTGGTGGCAAGACAGTATCCATTGGCCAGAGGAGTGTCCATTAGCCACCGAAGCTAATGGATACAGGACGGCCAATGGATACGGGACGGCCAATGGATACAGGATGGCCAATGGATACTGTCTTTTGCCACCCAACCAAAAGATCTGCTTGGAGATAACTGAATGTTGAGTACTGGTGAAGTTACGTGGAGGGCTAATTATCTATACTGTATGGTTTTAACTGTCACTGCACCACAGCAATGGCTGTGTAGGTGTACAAATGTATTGTAAAGGCACCAATTTTTAGTCATTGTTTATACATTGTATATTCAGAGTAAATAGCATGTACAAATGCAGCAATTCTACAGACTTTTCAGCCAGATTTAGCTAAGTGTTGCTTGTTGAATAGATTATGTTAGCAAGGTCCAGGGACAATATATGCAGGAACCCGCAGTAACAGAATCAAAGGTTGAGCCTGAACAGATATCCTAATTCCCCCTCTAGACAACTGGAAAAACTGGGTAATTTTCCCACTACTTAGAAGTCAATAGGACTAGATTAGGCCAATTCAACAATTAATTTCCTGTGGACTCATATCTCCTGTAGACTCCATTGAAGTACAGGTCCTGTGTTAGTACTTTTATCTAGGAATGTACAAAACATCTGTACCTGTGCCATTCAGGCCACACCAATTTGATTTGTTGGTTCTCAGATTTTTTAATAAAACATATGAATTGACAGGGAAAAAATAAAATAAAAACAGGTCTAGGCATCCTATTATAGCCCCCAATACTACATGACCGCAAAAAACGTGAACATTAAAATACCGCAATAACATAATGAATTGCAGTTACTTTATTGCCAAGGAATCACTTGAATATGTCACAAACTTGAGTAAGAACATTAACACATTTTACAAAAACCTTTCTTCATGATATTTCAATCTTTTGTTTCATTTGTCACCACCCTCAGGTCCACCATGATAAGCCGTTTGTTCTGAAGATGGACAGTGAGGAGTATAGAGTGGAGTACACCCCGGGGGAGTCTAACACCTTCCTGTTTGGAGGAAACAGCAACTGGAGGGGACCTATATGGCTTCCAGGTAGTTACTAGTAGTTGGCAGAATGTACTGCGCCTGCAGGAAACCTGCATGGATTCAATGTTGTAGTCAGGGTCCATCTTTCCATCATTTGACGGAATTTTGTTGCTCATGACGGACAAAAATTTTGCGCTGTCATCTGACAAAATTCGGATCGGTGTGTTTAGAGATGGAAATTTCAAGAGATGCCATTAAACTAAGCTTGGTCTGTCAAAGCACTATATGCATAATACATTACTGGTTTCTGCACAAAATTTGCTTTTTCACGGCTTTAATTGGCCAACGTTTCGTCTGTTGCAGACGATATGCTTTCCGACAAACATTTGAAAACAGTAATGTTTAGACTCCAAATTATCACGTCACCTGTAAGAGCAGAACGTACTGCACCAGCACAAAACCTGTAATGTGTAGCACTTTGGCAGAACACCTCGTTAAAGGTGAATGGGCTATTTCATAGTCATAGAGTAGATATAATTCAATACAAAGTCCAGTCAAGGAGGATGAAGAGAGAGTTATTTGTGGGCAACACATAGCAGAACCAGAATAACAGATGGTATTTCTGCTGTCCCTCCCTTGGTGACAGACGTAGGAACTTACGCTACTCACTAATGATGTGATTGTAGCTGGAAGGAACTGGTTTTGCCTTTTTTACTCTCCTCAAATGATGCTAATTAATACATCCTAATTATCACGTCACCTGGGAGAGCACGGTGGCAGGACGTACTGCGCCTGCGCAAACCCTGTATAGCACTTAGGCAGTAGATTAAAGGTGAAGGATGGCATCCTGCGTATACTTCTGAAAATAGTTTCTGAAAGTAGGTTCCTAGGAAAAAGGATATCGAGATTTCCCTTTACGCAACCATTAATGTCAAGGTAAGAGTCTAATCATTACTGGTTGCGTAAAAGGAAATCTTGATATCATTTTTTTCTACAAACCTAATGAAACTATTTTCAGAATTGTAAACTATAGTTTACTCTGTGCTCTGTGCTCTGTGTGTGTAACTATTGCTTTTCATGGCATTAATGGGGAGTTGGCTGAGGTTGAACAGATATTTTTCATGGTGTTAGTGACAGCTAAGTGAGTGAGCTTCATGTACATTCAATACTTTGGTTGGCTTATTGGGTTGTCTGTGTTCCTCATGACAGTAATAGGTGGAATATTGGGTTATATGAGCTGTGTGTAATGAATAAATTTCCTAATGGGCATGTGTGGTTTTCGTGCTCCAAAAGTTAAAGCTCTCTATAGGGGTATATGTTATACGTACAAAAGCCATACAAAATGTACAAAAAGTATGACGTCAGCAGTTATGTGTGTTATAATTTACCAGTGGCCTCTTGCAGAGAAATTAAGTTAGTTCTGCCCAGGGGGCTTCTGTGGCAATCTTTTCCCACAAGTCGTACCAAAATTAGTTAGAATTACGAAATGATCTTTATGTAACACAAAATAGATCAAGCAACTGGATAGATTCTCTATGGAGCCAGATGTTTCAGATAACATCCTCCATCTTTCATCAGTTAGCCTCTAGGGCTTCCTTCAACACATTTTCAGTCACTGTTGAAGGATAGTGGATGCTGCCTGAAATGTCTGGCTCCTCTAATTGCAGAATGTTCTAGCTGGATGTCTAACCTTCATTGACAAAGTACTGCTAACCTTTATGTTAATCAATAATGTACTTTTTAGGCTTTTGCCCTTTTTTTAGTCTACATGTATGCTTCTGCATGCAATGCAAAATTTACAAAAATATTGCAACACTTCATCCTAAACCTTGTTGCAAGGACATGTAACATTACATGTATATAACATGACATGATCAAGTAGGTCAACCTTCTTGATACTTCACAGTAGCTAATCATACATATGAATGGACGTATGATTGGATCTTGCAGTACTTCCTGAAGACCACCCTGTGTTACAAAATCTCCCACTGTCAGGGTTAATTCAGCCTCCTCCTACAGATTGAAGTTCCTGGAAGTATCATGTAAGTCAGGCTAGAGGGAACATGCCCACGTGCACGTAGCCCACAGACCTCCCATGAGGAACCTTCAATAGGGTGTTACTAATTACCACATCCGGGCACAACTGACCTCAATAGAGCCTGTTGTGCAGTGTACTCTGGGCAATTGCAAGTCCTGGTGTGAAGCTCTGGATACATCCATTACAGCTTAAGATTGAGATTTCCGGACATACTTTGTAACATTACTTACAAACATTTCCTTCTAAACCTACAAATGATGGATAGATTAAGTCTGTCCTTGAAAACAATGCTAGCTTCTATGCCCACCTTCTCCATGATAGTTTGGAAACCTGGCATGTGTCTGTTGTATAATCTATTTATCATCTACTGTTAAACACCTGATGATTTCTTCTCTATTTTTTAAACACACAGATATGCATATTTTGTCTACTATACGATCATTCCTGTGCGACATCAAGTACATGTATTTAAAAGTGCCAATCTTTGACATTTTCTTACATACATTGTCTAACTGTAAAGTCTTAAATAGCACTTGGCATTCATTATTATTCATTCCCTCCTGATAGTGACAATGACAATGACAATGAAGTTTATTGCATGGAGGTTTTTTCCATCAAGTTTTTTTCCATAGTAAGCTACCTCATCATCAATAGTCTGAACAGGTACGACTACTTCTACGGAGAGTGGCTGAAGGTAACCGGTGTGTCTGTACAATGTAGTTTTGAAATTTTATTGTTTAATCCCTCCCATTAGTAAACTACCTCATCATCGAGAGTCTGGAGAGGTACGACTACTTCTACGGAGAGTCGCTGAAGGTGGAGTGTCCCACGGGGTCTGGTAACGTCATGCGGCTGAAGAGCGTCGCCCAGGAGCTGGCTCGTCGTCTGTCAAGGCTGTTCGTCGCTGACAAGACTGGGAAACGCCCCTGTCATGGCGAGAGCGAAAGGTACTGTCATGTCAAGATTTAAGGTGTCAAGTGGCTCTCTGTTAGCATGTCAGCAGAATGTACTGCACCTGTGCAAAAGCCAGATTTGCCATATATTGTCCCTCCAATATTGAGGGGAGGTCACCTGGAGCCAAAAAAGTCTTGTTTTCAGTGTAGTTTGGAGGCCCTTAACTTGTCAATGGTGTTGGCCTCCATGGTCTGATGTCTTTGTAGTATACATATGTATATGGGGTGAGATAGGGTATTAAATGTATAAATATAACAGTAGATACATGATGTTTTCAAACTACTGGAGTCTTGCTTCCTCCTCTAGATCTGTCATTTCCAAGATCAAACCCCTCCAAATACCTGTTGACTGATCATGACCATTTGTATAACATGCTGTTTGATGTCCCAGTAGTGAAACACAAAACCTGACGCAGGGCTTGAAATACTTTTTGAAAGGTTTTGATACAGAATCCCGAGCTTGTTCTCTTTTGCCATGTCAAATTTCCGGGGTCTTAATATTGTTTTTCAATCTTAGTGAGGAAAGTCTTATTGATTGCAGCATTATAGGCATCCAGTGCAGTTTTTAGGGCTTGAAAACACGATTTTTCAAAGCCAATATTCTAGTCATTTATCTACATACTAAGTTGAAACAACTCTATCCCAATATATATTGAGCCTCATGGAGCAAAATCCTGATGGAAAATGGTTACTGGAAGGGCCCTGGGCTGATTTTTAGGGTACCACCCAGAAAATAAAAGACTCCTCTTGGGGCTTGTTCCTGCAGGTTTAAAAGCCAAAAGTATAAAATACTGATTCAAATATGCTAATGTGAAGCAGTATGTCTCAATATCACAAAGATGCCTTATTCAGAATATTTCCAGTTTTGCTGCCCTGGAATCGCATTGGATGCCTTGATAAAGCAGGTGTATTAGAGTTTACCATCTAAAAAGGGGTCAGACATTAACAGTTGGAGAAGAAGGCTTTACTTGAGAGTGTTGATGGTAATTTTTATGTTGTGATGTCAAGGACTTTCCTCAGTTCAAAGAAAACACCAACTGGTGCGGGATTAAAGGATATTGGCTGTTTTGTAGTCTTGACGTCATCATCCAAGGAAATAAACACAGCCGCAAACTTCAAAGCTGTTCTTCAGGAAGTAACTGTAATAGCAGTGCTTTACACAGTGGTGGGAAGAGCCTTTTGAGAGAAATGAAAACAAAACAATTTGTATCAGATGGATGTTGACTTGATTAAATGTTTTCACACTGAATCCCAGGCTATTCTGTTTTGTATGGAAGTTACAGATCAACTTTGATAAGAAAGGTTAATTACATTTTGTAGAATTTAGTTTAAATTGATCAAGATCAACATTACACTTTAATATCTTGTACTCTGCATGCTCTCAGTCTGTCTCAGTGCATACTGCAGCATACATGATAAAGACGAAGATTCTCTCCAAAAACTCAAGGAAGTTCTTTTTTTTCAACCTTCTTAAAATTTTGTTTCTTCAGGTACAGAACCGACCCCCACTGGAAGGACCTGGTGCTGTTCTATGAGTACTTCCATGGAGACACTGGCAGGGGCTGTGGAGCAAGGTACATGTTGTTTTTTTTTGCAAATGTTGCCAAATGGTTTCTCCAACTCACTCACTCACTCACTCACTCACTCACTCACTCACTCACTCACTCACTCACTCACTCACTCACTCACTTTCTCACTCCCGTAGCTTACATTGTATTGCTATGCTGGATTTATGCCAGTTTTGAATAGGGAAAATAGTCTTTTAGTTCTGTGTCTAACATGTATGTTTCAAGCAAGGTTTTTCGTAAATGTTTCCAAATGGTTTCTCAAACTCACTCACTCACTCACTCACTCACTCACTCACTCACTCACTCACTCACTCACTCACTCACTCACTCACTCACTTACTCACTCACTCACTCACTCACCCACCCAACCACCCACTCTCTCACTCACTCACTCACTCACTCACTCACTCACTCACTCACTCACTCACTCACTCACTCACTCACACGCTCACTCACTCACTCACTCACTCACTCATGTGCCTTAGATTGTGTGCTATGCTGGATTTATGTTTTGAAAAGAGAAAATAGTCTTTTATTTCTGTGTGTAACATGTATGTTTCAAGCATAAAGTTAAAAGCATTGAGTATATTCTAATGTACATTTTGACCTGCTTTCTTGCAGCCATCAGACAGGTTGGACTGCTCTAGTTGCCAACTGTCTGGATCGACTGACTCACTAAAAAAGGTGCTACAATCTTCATGAGACTCAAGGGAGACAATTAAGACTATGCAGGCTAAAGCATTGATGCTGTGGAAAATGTTAACTTTAGATTTAGAGTTGGGTGTTTGGTGAGGTAAAGGCTCCTACTAGGGTTTTCTATTAAGAGATATATTTTAACTCTAACCCTTACATCATAGTTTCTTTAAGTTACATTTAGATTAGCTTTTTTAAGGTATGTAACATTAGCATAATTTGCGTGTTACTATGATGTTACAGATGATAGCCAAAATAATTACCATCTAAATCAATTCTAAGAAGTGCATATTTTTTATATGGCAGGGTCATTTTAAGCACAACTGCAAGCCACAGTATATTAATTTTGTAAAGAGACACATTCTTATGACAATATTATCTGATTTTGTATTTTTTTCAGGTAGGAAATATAAAGAAATAATACAAAAACAAAATAAATACTGAAGAATCAAGACTCAGCTTTGATATAGCAAGATCTATAATCATAAATTTAAAAATTATTCTATATAGCCAGGATAAGGCATCTTAGCTAATACTGCTTTTAAATTACTTCTAAATATATCAGCTTTACCACTAAATTGTCTCCTAATCATTCTATTGAGCACTAAAATGAAAGGGTTTATGGTTGCTTAAAGGAGTATAGGTAACAGACATGAGTTGTTCTGGTTCAGTTGAAGTCAATTAAAGAGGTATTATGCAAGATTAATACAATGTGAAAAGGAGATTTTCCTGTCTCTTTTTTGACAGGATGCTGTTGTGTGCACCAGGAGGAGCTATTTAGTTTAAAAATCGTGATGGTTGTAGGAAGTCAGGAGACTTTGTATGTGCAACTTAGTTTTTGCACAGTTCACAAGTATAAGCTTGGGTGCCATTTGTTTTTTTAATGTTTATTTCATTTTGCACACAAAAAGTGGAATACAGGGAGTAGATATCAAATACACAAAATACAGGGTAAAACAGAGACTAGAAACTAAATATCCTATACAAAAGGATTTGCTGGAGGCAGAAAAAAAGCTGTAAGCCAGACTGTTTTGTAATGGGGCTCCTTGCAATCGCTTACCAAAAAACAGATTGGCTCCCAGGCTAGCTCACAAGCGCCTTAAGTACACCTGGGTTTGAGTACATGTTATGCACGTAAAGATTTTGTTCTCAAGAATAAATTTGTCAAGAATATAGTCATCAATTTTTGGGCCAACATCTTACATAATGTACCTTAAATGCGCAAGCTAGATTAGTACAAAAGCCAGAACATTTATTTAATAGTCAATCTGATGAATTGAATCAGCTTTGGCACAGCCCAGAACCAGATCTAATCATATATCATTATTCCACGCTGGCTGTTCAAAATGCCTTGAGCTCTATTTCTAAGAATATCAGCTTTACCACTGACGTCACAGCACTTCTCAGAATTTTCTACCAAAGCACAGTTTTGCCTCTTATTCACTATATTTATAGCTAAGATGAGAGGGACCTTGCCTAACGGAAAAAGGTTATTGCAAAGTTTTGCCTCTTATTCACTGAATTTATACCTAAGATGAGAGAGTCCTTTCCTCACGGAAAAAGGTTGTTGTGGTGAAGTGAATAGAAGTGACTCGGTCCGGAAGATCAGTCCGATTCTATCTAACTTTGATGGACATGTTCGGCCAGCTGTGACTTCGTGTTCTCAAGGATTCTATTTCCGAACCCCCTGATTGTGAGTCCAGGCCCAGTTAACTGTTAGGAGTGGTAATGAGAGTGGGCGGAAGTGCACATTGTTGGTGGTGGGAGGCTTTAACTCGTACAGGGTCAGAATAACAATGAGCAAACTGTCATGTACAGTTCATTTAAGTTCGTGAGACTGAATTTCTATGTTTGCGACAGCGACATTAGGGAGCAGGCAGAAACTTTGCAGGATGGCACCCAGGCTACATACTGAATTTTCAAGAAGGGGGGAGGTGATTGCAGTTGGCATACTGAATGCACTCCTGACAGGAAATCTGTATTCAATTTGTTAGCAGCGTAACATAAAATTACTGCTGCAAACATTTCAGTAGCCATTTAGATGGGAGTTGGGAATTTTACTGGTATTAGGTTAAGATTTAATTTGGCAAACCTACGCAAACATAAGATCAGAGAATTTTGTACAACTCTGAGAGATTTCTGGTATAAAAGCAATCAAGGAAAACTTTGTAATCAATGTTGATAGCAAATGAATATCACGCCTCTCAGGTATCCTTGGATAACTTACTCAATTTCTGACCATAATTAATAATGATGATACCTATTGTCTGTGGTGAAGGTGTATACAATACCATGTGAAATGCTCTTGTTATTGTGCTCAGTGCAGCACTATATGAAGTGGTGGAAAATTCAATTTACAGTCCAATTGTAAGCCTTTTGTTAACAGATTTGCGTGGGTTGAATCTTTTTTATCAGTTTGAATGAACAAGAGAGCAGGAAGAAAATTGATAAGACTGATAGAAAATAGATTGTGATCACCGGTACATCGTAATAGCTTCAAAGCAAACAATGTCTTGTCTTTATGGTAACCACCCATAGATGTAGCTTATCGTTATAGCAAAGGAATTACATTGTACTACTGCAGCAGATGTTAGGAAAGTGTTTGGGTAACATTTTATTCCCAGATTTACGGCAAACAAACAAACAAATGTGTTGTAGGAAGATAAAGATGGTGAATTACTTAGTATAGTAATTAGCTTGTAAGTAAGGGCTCCTGGGGGTACAATAAGAAACTTTTAAGGTATTTAGATAGTGGATTATTGTAGGCTGGTAGGCTCGATTCAAATACTACTACCTTGCACCTATGCATCTTTTCTTGACACAGACGTCTAGCATTCCCCTCTTCAATATTTCTATTATAATAAAGTTATATGAACACCTACCGTGAACAGCAAAAGAAAACTATGCTGTGTTTAAATGTGCATTTTGAATATCTGCAAATATTGCCATTAAGGTTCAATTTCCTTAATTTATGCTTTGCTTTCATTTACATTGTACAGGTACTTAAAACCAGCTTCCTAATTTGAGTAAAACTACTGTGCAAATTCACAAAGAGAGGATCAAGCTTTCAAAATGTTCACAGGCATAATTGCAGGATGTTTTCAGGGAAAGGAAGACTTGTCATTACTGTAACCTAATCAAAGTACATAATTATACGTCTCTAATCTTTCCACACGTAATGATACCATTGCATAATTACTTAGGACAAAGTATGCAATGGATGTATAATTATGCAACTGGAGACTGGTTATTTTCACCTATATGATTATATACTTGTACTGTTTGTGTGTGTGTAGGCAGGATGTAAAGGATTTAAAATTGACGTCAATGACCAGCTGCCCCTGACTGCTTGCACAGATGGTGTGTAATAAACCAAAGTGTAGTTATTCTAGTTGAGGGCACACAAATTTAATGTGTTGATTCTCGGATTCGCCTCTTCATTTTTTTCTGATTTGCAACAAAAAAAAAAAAATTCTGGTTCTGAAATAGCTCAAAAATGCTCATATTTTGCCCCCAACAGTTAAGGAAAGTCCTTTTCTTCCTAGTTGTGACAGTTTTTCCATCAATCAATGCAGTGGTTTGATTAAAAGTTAAGAATTCATTTTTTTAATATTAACCCAGCCTTTTGTGTTGACTTATGACTCCTATCATCACTCCTATCCTATTATGACTCCTATGACCTATTTTTATTTTTTTTCCCCTGTCGCGTCATATTTTTTGCATATTTCCAGATAAAAGTGCTAACACAGGATGTGTACATCAATGGAGTCTACAGGAAATGTAAGTCCACAGGAAATCAATTGTTGAGTTGACGAAATATTTAATGCACTTTACTTTACAGAAACATGACTAAATCATTTCACAAAGTAATCAACTAATCACACAAACACACAATCTTTGTAGCAACAGAATACACAATAAACAGCTTACTTTCAAGCGTGGCTTCCTCTTTCAGTAGTCAGAGAACCAAAGACCATGCAGAAAATGACATACCGTGAAAAGGTGCATTTTTGTGAATCCATGTTAACAATGTTGTCTTTTGTGTAGCCTTAAACTGACATAGGTGGGTTCAAATTATTGTAAGAATCAGTTGTGCAGCTTTAAACTCAATTCCCAACAACATTTACATTACAGATTTGACATGCATTGTTCAATTCTCCAAAAAATTAAGATTTCTTGTTACTAAGAGATATTTAGAATAACTTATAATATACTTATAAACTGTTTTATAGATTTATATTTATATTTATGACTCCAACAATGCCTCTAACATCAAACACATCAACCAAAAGACATCAACACTACAAATATATGTAATGCACTTGCACTTAGAGAAACAGGAAAGGCTTTCAAACCTAACGGTTTACAACATTTTGGCTTCAGGTCCATAAAATTTACAACAACAGATAGATAGATACTGGTAATAAAGACTGATAACTGTCAAATTGTAAAATATATCCATGATATACTACATACCATAAACATCCACTCTACAACATGGCTATATAAGAAGTTAAGACCAAGAAAAATACGCCAGGCTTTTCTCCTCTTTCTTTCCAATAAAATAAACCCAACATGAAAGGAAACATTATAGCAACCACATTACTAATATATTGCACATGTTGTCATAACACACAATATAATACACACTAAAATCATTATGTAATAGTACTACCTCAAAACACCACTGCTTTTTACTGAAGATAAAAGTCTAAAGACATTTCACAACAACTTTTTATGAACACGTCAAAGTTAAAGAGATCATTATATCATTACATATCATATCAAGGAATATATCTTGGTGATATAAGTCGAATATACGTCGATGAAGGTTAGACATCCAGGTAATATGATACGCCAAAAAGCAGTTACTCAAGCAACGGGATATGATTTTGAAAACGTCAGACGTTTCAGCTAGTATCCACTAGCTTTCGTCAGTGACTGAGCATATCAATCAATAGGTTGTGCTTATAAACCTGTTTTCCCCTCTGGTCTCTCAGTCACTGACGAAAGCTAGTGGATACTAGCTGAAACGTCTGACGTTTTCAAAATCATATCCAGTTGCTTGAGTAACTGCTTTTTGGCGTAAGTCGAATATACACTCAGCTATTATCAACCCATACGTGTACTGTATATGACTCAATGGTTACACAGTTTGAAACCTCTGCATATTTCGTTGTGACATCGTTCTTGAGGCAGTGCCAACATCATGACGTCTGCCTGCAATGGTACGATGTATGATATGGGCCATCACGCAGTTCTGGTATTGATGTATAATGGAAAACGTGACAATCGAAGGTTATCTTTCATGCCAAATGGAACTCAGTTGTCCACGTTTGAGACCATAATTATAGCGTTACGTATTTTAATGGATTCTCTCCGACATCGAGTAAATGGACTGGTGACATCTCGGGCAGTTTAAGGAGGCAGAAATAACCAGGAAATGCATCGACAGAACAAACCATTACCACCTGTTAAAGTGTAGACTCATGCCATAGATTGTTTGAACTCAATAATGTATAGGACTCCGAGAAGCTGTACGTAGTATTATAACTGGGACAGTTAATGGCGGACAGAGCTGACTGGAAAGAGAGAGTACGCTCGGTCCGTGCTAGCCGCCCGACATTATGGTGATGATGATAGTATTATATGATTCGCTTACTGCTAAACATAAAATACAGCTTTTGGGAGAGAAAAATACAACTTCAGATATGGTATTGTAACCTCTCTCTACCAGGCTTCGGGAAGCGGCTGGAATGAGGAGAAAGTGGCCAAATAGACAGACGACATGCCAGGGGAGTTGGTCCGCGCTAGAGAACGGTCTTTGGGAGCTGCAAACTGTTATCTTTGCGAGGACCAACTCCCCTGGCATATCATCTGTATATTTGGCCAATTTCTACTCTTTCCAGCCGCTTCCCGAAGCCAGGAATAGGCTAATGGTATTGTACATGAGAACATCGGCATTTTGTGGGGCTAAGCGGACTCGAGCTGTAGTTGGAATAGATTAGCCCTATATTGTCGCCATAACTGTCTAGAAGCTCTTTGATATAGGTGTACAGTTCTTTGTGTCCGCATCGTTTTGTTCTGCCGCGGAGTCAGTGTAGACATCTCTCAGAGACGTGCTGTTGGTGATTCTGCTTGTCTCCCCGCCGAAAGGTCTGAGGAGGGTATTGTCTGGCCGGACCTCATAGATCTGCACTTCTTCGTTCTTTGGCACCTCCTGGTCAATGTGATCATCGGAGTCACTGAAGTGGATGGTCGGGACCATGGACACGATGGAGTTGTGTCTCACGTGCAGGCTTACCGGAGAGGGTGTGCATGTGCGCGGGGAGGCGGTCATCGGAGGCCGACTGGCGAGTCTTTTGCTTCTCTTATTCGTCGTGATGCCGGGAGGCGTGACGATGGGGAGCATCGGGTACGACTGCGGGGTGATGAACCCTGGCTCCGTCTTCGTCCGGTGCGCTCCCTTGCCGTGGATCTCCAGCGTGTTCCGGTACCGCACGAGCCAGAATCGGGTGTTGGTGGTCCTCTGGACGGAGGTGGACTTGTTCTTGAACCCGACGAGGCGTAAGAAGGCGTTGCGGAACTGCGTGGAGAACAGCGTGTAGATGATCGGGTTCAGCGTGGAGTTGAGGTACAGCATGATGCGCAGGAAGACGACCAGGATCTGCAGGTCGTGCTGAGAGAAGGCTGAGTCGATGTCTTCGCGGGTAGCTAAGATGAGCCAGAGCTGCACGACGCGCTGAGGCAGCAGGGAGACGAAGAACACCACGACCACCGTGGCCATCATGTACACCACCCGCCGCCTGGAACGCTGACGCTCGACAAGGCTGTCACTGGCCTGCGGAGGATTAAAAAATCGTATTTTGAAGAACTATCAAAGAGTGGAACTCGTTGACACCAAGTACAGTTGGGGCATCATCACTATAAAGCAACTTCTGCAGTTAGACGTGCAAAGACTGGGTGTAACAGGTCGTTAGGTGTAATATAGCTAGCTGACGCTCTACAAGGCTGTTACTGGCCTGCAGAGGACACAATATACTATGTTCATTCCAAGATGGAATGACGTAGTCTGCTTTAGATTGAAAGGGGTGGAAGAGCTTTAAGCCCATTTTATAACCTTTGCTCACATCATACGTCAAAAAATTTACCGCCCGTAGTGGCATATGATCAGATCTTGGCACACAAAATCCGTCTCCGTCCTCATTGATCAGTGTTTTTGGACACAGTATGAACGATTAGCCGACAGGCCCGGTGGGTGTCACTCGACCTTACAGAGAGTAAAGCCGTGTAAAATGCCGTGGGGCATGTCAGGGGATCGAATCTGGCCATTACGCCACGCGATGCCACATACGTCAGCCATGACACAGACACTCCAGTCCAGAATGTTAGACGAGTATTTCCACATGCACCGACACACAGTACGGTATACTTTGTGAAAGTTTCAGTTTCAGTTTATTTTATTTCACCAGTAATTACAACTCAGGCCATCCCGGCCTGTTTTTCAGGTAATCCTGGATACACATAAAAGTACACACAACAAATACACAGTACATAAACTATTACTAAATTACAACATCCTAAACATCAACAGTGTCAAAATCCTGCACCTACTGAAAAAAAAACACGAAAACAATTGACGAAACATTTTAGTGTTGATTGCAGCTTTGTGGGTTGTGACACTAAAATGCCCCATCTCAGAGTTGAGTCGGCACGTTCCCATCATCTTTGGTATCACCGACGCTCATTTCGGTATATTTTGTGGAAAAAAACACGACTGCAATTAGGAAACATTTCAGTGTGCTGGCTTTTTTATAACTTCGAGACGAGAAACTAAAAAGTCACCAAACATGCCCCACCTCCTCAGAGTTGAGTCAACATGTTCCCATCATCTTTGGTATCCCCGACGCTCATTGCGGTATATTTTGTGAAAAAACACGACTACAATTGAAGAAACAGTGTGTTACTTTTGACTAGAAAAAGACAAAAAAATGCCCACCTCCTCAGAGTTGAGCCGACACGTCCCCATCATCTTCCGGCCGATGAGCGAGTAGAGCACGCAGAGCAGCAGCATCGGCAGCACGAAGAAAAGCACGGTGTTGCCCAGCACGTACGCCGTCTTCCACGTCTCGTCCACGGTCGTGTCACACATCGTGATGGTGCCGGTGTCGTTATGGTGAAACCTGAAGCCATGAAATCAGAGAAAGGGATTTAAATGAAAGTTTAAAAAAAGCAGACTCGATTGACATTTTAGGCTGAATGGGTTAATGAATCTGTTGCGTCTTAGGCAGGGCATTGTGTCATTGGAAGGTGTAGCCCAACAAGGCCTCAATCTCTCTCCAACACTTGGCATGGTTATTTAATAGTTCGGGTGGGATGAAAATTTGGCATTTGAGAATTATACAAGACAAAAAAGTTTTGTTTTCTATTGGACTATCAAAAATGTGTCTTTTTCAGTTTCACTGAACTTTGTTCTTTGTCAGTTTCACTGACGAAAGGTAGTGGATGCTACCTGGCGGTTTCCAAAATCATATTCAGTTGCTTGCGTAACTGTCTTACGTCTTTATTTCGGCGATGGACAGCACGGGTGACCCGGCCAGCAGGGAGGTGACCCACAGCAGGATGACAGCTCTGCCGGTCCGACTGCTGGTGCACAGAGACCTGCCGGGTGGGAGGAGATATAATTGAATCACTAATAATAAAGGCAAAGCATGGATGCACTCATTGTAAGTATTATAAGCTCCATATAGCCATACATGCACATTTACAACTGTCTGCAGAAGGAACAAGAAGTTAAATTTGTATATAGTAGTCTAACCGGTAGGTAGTATTACACAGATAGTTCTGGTGTACATGAGATGCTGATTCAGCACCAAGGACGGCACCTATGTTGTTACATGACGATATACGCTTTGTTGTGAAACACATGAAATGACTACACTGTTCTAGTATGGCTGCTGGTGCACATTCCTTCATTCATTCATTAAGAGGCCTTCTGGAATTATAGAATTAGACATGTATACGTTCCATGTGTTCATACATCTACAACTGTCTTAACAAAAAGAAGTTGAAACTGTACACAGTAGTCGAACCGGTTGGTAGTAGTACGCATTAGCATGTGATATATCGTTGGACGTCGTCCCTTAAATCATTGTACTATCTTGCCCATACATGTTGTCTGTACTTCCAATCAGCCCTCGGGCTTGTACTTGCAAAAAACTTCACTTTATCTCTTACCTGGCCCTGAGAGGGTGCGTGAGTCCCAGGTACCGCTCCATGGACACGGCCACGATGGTGAGCACGGAGGCCTGGCAAACAACCATCTCCAGGTACGGCACCAGCTTACCTGCAGTCATCGGCAGAGAATTAAAACAAGTTCAAAACGAGTTCTACGACCTCATACCTTCGCCAGATGATGTTTACATTTAGAACTGACGAATTGAAAATGTTTCTCATTGATTATGCAAATAAGATAATCATTTGCACGAAATCATATTCTTCACCCAAGGACACTATCACAGAATCAGACACATTTGTATTTTAGCAAGGAAAATTACTGTAACATTTCGTAATTCATTATGCAAATGAAGCCCTGATTTGAATTAGTTATGTTCAATGATGTTCACCTTCACTTAGCTTCCAAATGCGGCAAGTATATGAAATCTCCAGCAATTACGATTCATACACCTTCTTGAGTTATCGTAAAAGAACTGAAATAGATAGAGGCAAGCGGCAACGTGAAGATACCAAATGGCCGGAGGGTATAACACAAGACGAAGGAAGTAAATGTACGCAATGGAGAGACGTGACATGAACACAAAATACTGTTTGTCATAATGAAGTATACCAACACAGATGAACTTTCATGCTAAGAACAAAATAGTGTCATTGAAATTAGCATATTGTTGCGTTTGAACAGTCCTTACGCGTTGTGGGGGCTTCAGAGTGCCTTAAGGAGTCGAAAGGTCTATCTGACCTCTTATAGATAAACTACGATTAATAATAATAGCACAGTATACACTATGATGAATAAAGCAGTAAGGTTTGATTAAGAGCACAAGCAAGTTCTTATATATGGCATCGACCGTTTCAAGTGGCAACGGCCGTTTAAGAGATGGACATTATTAGGACCTCAAGCAAGATAAGGTCCGGAAAATGCGAGGTTGATGAAGAACTCGTGAAAGAGAAAACGTACGTTATTACAGCTGCTGACAGGGACAGATGCTGCCGAAGTTCTGAAGTGCTCGGTTGAAACTACAAACGCCTACGCATGTATGTGTGGGAGGATAGGAGATTGATCTCTTCCTCCACACAACACCGCGTCTCATGATAATAAGCCTCATGTTTAAACCATCAAATCTGTGCTTGATTACTCGAGAATTTGCAATGGATAGTTGAGTAGCTTTAGTATCTTTCAGATGTAACTTATCATGTAAGATTCACTTTATATTGATGCTGACACTGACAAAGATCCAGAATACATGTAGATTCCATGTTTCAAAGGTGCCACATTAAACTCTACAGTATAGTTTGTCTATTCAAGGAGCGCTCATCGAAGCTCCTTGGTTTATATTTCATCATTTCAAAGCATTTCCTCAATTTACGTCATCTCATGTCAGTTGCTAATTTGAAACGTATACATCTCAGTTACTTTGAGCTACTGGCGTGTTTCTAAGCAGGTTGATCTAAAAGTTTCCTCAAGAAGAAGAAGAACGAAGAAGCTTAGGATGAATACTGCACATCGAGTAATTGGTTATCGATCCTAAATACTTAAGCTCACCGGAAAAGCTTCTACTGTTATAAAAGCTGTACCGTGTTTGATGTTAGGGCTTATATAATAAATACCCACACAGGTGGAGCATGGAATTGGATCGACAGAGCCTGTCTACTTCTTTCACACGCCGCTTGAGAAACATGTACTAGTATTAACGTCAGGGTCAGAACGGGAAATCCTGATTCATCACATCGTCTGTTCCAAGTCAGCAGCGCGAGTAAAAAGGATTTGTGTCGTAGTTACATTGTAGGAGACAATCTGAATGGAATAATACTGTTATACTCTAACTCCAATGCTGAATAACTTTGTCGTATGTGCTACTGTAATCATATTATCAGTATCTGATTTTTAAACTCCTTGGTATAACCGCCCTTCGGCGCGGTAGCAACTGGCTATATTACACCGAACGACCTGTTGCGCCCAATCTTTTCACATCTAACTGCAGGAGGTGTCTAAAGCTTTCTAGTGATGATGCCCCAACTGTAGTTGGTGGCAGCGAGTTCCACTCTACTATAGTTCTAGCAAAATAAGAGTTTTTGAACACCTCAATCCTTGGTTGATAACTTTCAAAATTGGTATTTGATGGCATGACTAGTATTTCTTGTTCTTTTCTGGGCTGGTATTAGACAATGGACAGGCAGGTCCCTGGCTGACTGCACGCAGATAGCCAAGGACAGAGAAGGGCGGAGAAAGCTTGTGCTACACGCTATCACAGTCCCAAAACCTCCAGACGAGGATGGAGCAAGGTGAAGGTGATATAGTGCGGATTTCACATTCTGAGCGTCTCCATTCAATTCTTCGTAGACAGTGGATAACAAGCAATGATCCAATGAAGTGTATTCGCCCGGGATTCTTTCGTGAAGTGAATAATTCCTTCGGGTGGTCATTAAAATCGCACAATGAGACCAATCTGCAAGGTTTGAGAAGGGTAATTAAGACTTGATGAGCCTGGACCAGAGGGTAATTAAGTACTTATTAAGGTGGTACTAAAAGAAGCCCTCATCAAAATCAAGTTCTTCAAATTCTCAGTATCATAAGGCGAAATTGGTAGGATAATTGGTAGTACGGGGAATTTGCATAGCGGCAACACAAATCGTGCTGGGCTGTTAGAACTGATGACTCAGAACCTTGCGGTCCAGGGTTCAAATCCCGGATATGCCCTGATGCTGTACCAAAAGTAACCAATATTTGTTTTTTTATTGTAACACTTGACACAAAATAAGATGACGGCACCCAAGTTTTTTTTTCAACTTATGGCCACTTATTTCTATGCCGTCACCAACGCAGATGAAAAATAGACAATACTCATTTTCGCCTGAGTTAAGTGAGAAAAGTCGTGCACACAGTAAAGTGCCTTTCCCAGGGGCACAAGATCGGCAGCAAGGCAGGATTCAAACTCAGTACTTGTTTACAACTCTTCTGACTGTTATTATCACGTTTGCAACACGCGTTCGGATGGGCTGTCAGAACCGCAGGGCTGTATTCACGCCTCGCTAGTTCATCGCTCATCCCGCCATGACCAGAGTCCACCACTCATGAGTAGAGTTCACTGCACCCTCAGAACGGAAGCCGAAAGGTCACCGAAACGTGGGCAGATGAGATATCTTGTTTTTGTAGCTACGAATCCAGCGTATATTGATTTTGAATTACCAACATGGTGAAACAACCTCAATGAAGCTATTTATGGAGCTACGTCGGTGAAGATTAGAAATCCGAGTAATAAGATCTGCAAAACAAAGTTGCTCAAGCAACTGGGTATGATTTTGGAAACGGCCAGACGTTTCACTATCTTACTTCAGTGACACTGGAGAGGTCTTGAATTCAGCACGTTTATAAACAGGAACTATTGATTGGTAAGCAAATGAAGTAGAGAAAGATTTTGATAGTCCAATTGGAAATAAAAGTTCGACAAAATCAAGATAAGTTTCACGCAAATGAGTCAGAAAGCTCGTGCTGTTTCAGAACAGGAGCTTAAGTGTTGCCTGTCCTTAGTGCTGGGAGCGCCAAATTTCAAGTGCCAGAGAGTTCTACCCGTACCCCCCATTTCCTTTTGAGGGTGAGGTTGTACATCCTCTCATATATTGCCTCTCTTCTTCTTCTCTCTAGCTCTAAATCGAACTCGACCTGTTTTTGCTAGGAGCTGTTCCCTACCGTTGACACGACAACCTGGGAGCTCCGGAATAAAGTAGGTCGACTGTAGATCAAACGATTCACTACTTGCAAAACAATTAAAGCGTAATGACTTAAAACACTTGACATCCATCCGCACAATATTTGTATAACCAAAATCAAAGCAAAGATTGTGTGCTTCACTCCGTCCTAATTACGATTTCGCTGCTCCTTCCCCAGTTGTTGAATACACTTCAGAGAAAGCTGCTGTTTCACGACAGTGTGGTATGACGCCCTTGGTGTGAGCTTCAAAGGCAGAAATCAAAGAAACGACCGTATTTGGTCACAAAGGCGGCACGCCACGCGCCGCTGTCGCCGACAGATGTTTTCCCGATTATGGTTGCTTTAGTATAAATGTGTTTCTTCTAGCAAAGACTGGCCATGGAAAACCGTAGATATTCCCTCTATGACAGTTACATTGTATTGCTTGCATTCAAACTACTAGTAATACACGTGTGCGTACACACATGCGTACCAGGGTTATTTTTAATGTAACAGCTGCTAGAATTTAAGTCGAAGATCACTGGCATCAATGTTAAGGGATTGAAGACAGAGCTCTCTTCATACTGCCATACTCTCTCTATCTTCCCTTCTCTCTCTCTTTCTCTCTATCTCTCTTCATTCTATTTTCATTGTACTCGACACGTCCCTTCACCCTATCCAAGGTTGTTTGTAAACGCATTTCATTCAAGGCTAAAAGAAAAGATTAGCGCTGCATTTTAGCGATGATCAAGGTCTCGTGTTCAAAGAAAACCCGATTAGGTGTGAATCCTAATGGAAAACACTAATACTTCAACTCAACAGCACAACAAAATCAAAACACACGAGTCGCCCGGCCTCTAATGTGCTTTGCGGAGCGCACACCTACTGTCAGGTCAATTACGATTCACACTTCAGTGAAAACCCACATCATACTAGTAAGTACTGATGCGGATTTCCGCAGTCAGGAAGGAACCTGACAAGGTGAACGTGTTTTGCACTTTTACACAGGAGACTGAGAACTTGTTTTGAGCGTTTTTGTAAGACAGCGGTTTTACACACTCCAGTAAAAAAACATAGAAAGCTTCACAAGTACTAATGCGGATGTCCGCAGTCAGGAACAAGGACGTTCTACCTTGTTGAAGCTCCTTGGTGAGGAAGGAAGCCGACAAGTTGAACGTGTTTTGAACTTTACAGAAGAAGCTGAGAACTTGTTTTGAGCGTTTTTTAAGACAACGGTTTTTCACATTCCAGTGAAAAAGCATAGAAAGCTTCACAAGTACTCATGCGGATGTCTGCAGTAAGGAAGGAACCTGACAAGTTAAACGTGTTTTGCACTTTTACACAGGAGACTGAGAACTTGTTTTAAGCGTTTTTTAAGACAATTGTTTTTTTACACTGCAGTGAAAAATCAATGAAAGCTT